CACCCGGGTTCACAGGAGTCTATTGAACATTGTAGGGCTTAGTTTGCAGCTTCATTGCTGTTTTTTCATCACTTCCCCTTATTGGTGATTGTAACTTCTTGAGAAAAGAAGTTCAACAAAGCTGAAAAAGATCACTGCCCTGTGTAAGAGCCTCGTTTTCCTTACTGTTTGCTCTATAATGTGAATCCTGATAAAGTCAGGGATAAATGAAATCAACTGGTAATTCCAAAGTGAATTTTGCCTCCCTTACTGTGAGAGAGGACCCCAGGAGCAAGTGCTACGTACAGGAAACAACCACTCAGTGAATGTCTTCCTGCCATTCTTTTTTTAACGTAAATTCACTGTACCCTAAGCAAAAATTCCCCCTTTCTCCATTCCTGCCACCCCAGGTAATCTTGAGTAAGCTTTGGTTTCTAGATATCTGCTTTTTAAATATAAATGAGATTATACAGTATTTGTCCTTTTGCAACTGGTTTATTCTGCAAAATGTTTTCAATGCTCAGCCATGTCACAGCAGACAGCTGGGCTCTGTTTCTCTTTACATCTGAATAGTATTTCATAGTGTACATCCGCATCTCATGTTGTCTACACATTCATCTGTTCATGGGCATTTCTGTTGTTTCCAGCTTTAGGCTCTTGTGGAAAGTTCTGGATTGAGCACTGGGGTACAGGTTACCACTGCTTTTTCCATTTACTCCTCTGGTCCTCTAGGGCTGTTAGCATTTGTTATGGGGAAGGTAGATGGGGAACTGAAGTAAAAGTACACTAATGGTACAGGAGACCACCACCTGAGATGACCCTCTGTCTATCTATCTTCTGACAGAGGTAAGGGTACTATTTGGGATGAACAAAAACTAGGGCAGCTTGTAAACCCATTAGGTGCCTTGGTATGAATTAGAAAAATTCTTTATTACCTTCTGTCAGAAAATTGTCCTACTGTATTGCTTTTATCAGAAGTAGACTCTATAGTGCCCTTTGCCAGCATAAGAAAAAATGCATTTCTACAGTGCCGTGGTGTGGTGCTGTATGACAAAGCACTGGACCCCAAGTTAGTTTGAACTACAAGGTCAGTGGTTCAAGCTCACCAGCCGCTCCTTGGAAACCCTATACAGGGTTGCTATGAGTCGGAACTGACTAGATGGCACTTGAAACCAACATAGGAATGGTTTCCCTTGGGTGCATGCAGCAAATCACCAGCAATACTGCCCTGGAAGATCTTCACCAAATGCCGCCTTATCAGATTGTGTTTCAGAATATGTCTGACTCAAAAGACCCATTTTTGGACCCCATTGATAGTACACAACATTATAGTTTTCAGATGTATGATCCCTGTTGAAAATAATTCTAGGTCATTGGTATGCACAGTGTACAAATCTGGTATAAATGTGCAGAAATGACTTTCTAGGAAAGAAAGGGCCTATAACTAGATCAGTCCTGCATTCCAGACATCTGTGTGTTTGGTTTTGTTGGATAAGAGTAGTGGTATTTAGGACTCACCTGTTTCAAGCCTTGACTAAGCTCCTCCAGAAAGTATTGCTGGTTGTCCTCTTCACTGCAGCCTCTGCCTTATGGTCACAATGAGCACACTGTGCTGCCGTTCTGGGCTCTCAATTTGATGCTGTGCTAGCATCCGTCTGGAAAAGATGCCAACAACTAATGAATGAATGAATGGGAAAAAAAATCAGTGCTATAAATTAGTGTCATGTCAAAAATATAGCTAATAGGACTGTCTATAACCCACTGGCTATTTATTATCTGCGAAGTTTTTGAACCAAGACAAGCTTAGCTCTTGTGTTTTAGCGATATAAATAACTTTCTATATTATTACTTTAAGGAATGCAACCCTTTTGAGGAGTGGGGTAAGCACAGGTAAGGAAGTTCCAGGGTACATTTACTTACTTATGACATTGGGAGACATGCGTTCTCAGTGTACATGTATAAGTACTGTATCTGTTTTATGAAACTAGAGTATGACCACTTTCGAGGATAAGGCTGAGCATGCAGATGACTTGATGTACACTCCCCTGATTCTGGTGAATCACCATAGAGTGTTCATTTGCTCCGTCAAGGAGAATATATTGATAAGAGGTAATATTTTGAATTTGATATTTAAACACCTCTATCCCTGTTGTCCATGGAGTTCTGGTGTGGCGTTGTAGGTTACTGCGTCAGACTGAAAAGCCATTTGAACTGCAAGGTCAGTGGTTCAAGCTCACCAGCTGCTCCTCAGAAACCCTATACAGGGTTGCTATGGGTCAGAATCAACTCCAGGGTACCTCACAACAACAACATCCCTGTTGTCCATGCATCTTAACTCTACCATTGTGAATTACAGTGAAATTTGAATGTTTTCTAAACGTTTGACATTCAAATCAGAAAAAGAGAGCAGTTTAGTGGTGCTGATAAACTATGTTTTCAAAGAGAAGCCAGTATGCAGTCTATCTGAATGCACAGAAGCAGCAGCTGCTAAAAGAGACTGCATATTCATTGATGTAGCTGGTCTAGCCCACAGCGCAGCAATTGTCTTTGGCTTGTCTCCTAACTGTGGTGAACCTCTGTGTATATGTAATAGGAACAGAACAACCTAGCTTGGCTTAAAACATGAGTACCCTTAATTTACATTTACATAAGACGCAATGCTAATTTGTCACAGAAAATAATAAGCATGTAGGAACGTAAAAGTCTTTCTCAGTACTAGTTCCATTTTAGGCAGCATAGAGATCTTTGATGATATAAAGAAGATGAATATTCAAAGTCATTCTCTTTTCAGTAGTATCATATGTATTGAATGGTAAGTTGCAATATTATATTGTTGTTGTTAAGTGCTGTCTCGTCAGTTCCCTCTCATAGCGACCCTGTATAGGGTTTCCTGCAACACAATACCAGGACTCCAATATCATATTAGCAGTTTCCAAAACGACTAGAGTGGAAGCCATTTGTTGGACTATTTGAATTTGTTGTGATCCAATCAGGTC